ACTGAGTACAATGCATGCAAGCTGTTTTTGTTACGGAGTATAACTTATACTCAGGCATGCATGCATGCATGAAGGAAAATGACGTACTCTATTGATTCTAAAATACAAATTTACGTTACATGTTTCCCTATTTTAAAGGTCACGTTTGCATATCCATTTTAGCTCATTTGTAAATTGAAATCAATCTAGACAATTACTTCACACCTTTGAGGGACTCATTTAATTACTTAAACAAGAGAAAAGGGGCAAATAAGTCCACGTACTAATAAAAAAGGTCAAATAAGCCCTTATTTAAGAGGTTCTGTTTGGCCGTCGCCATTTGAGGTGGTTCCTAGGATAATTTTTTGATGAACTTTTTTTAGCATCTTATTCATTCAGTCTAGTTTACGCATACCAAATTTCAGCTAAAACTTCAATCGGGAAGGCATTCAATTGAATTCTTGAAAATAACGGTGCAGTTAAAAACACAGTTATCTTCAAGAATTCATTTGAATGTCTTCCCGATTGAATTGTTAGCTAAAATTTGGTATGAGTAAACTAGACACAATGAATAAGATGCTTAATAAATTTCATCAAAAACTTTCACCGGGAACTACCCCAAATGGCGACGGACGGACATAGCCTCCCAAATATGGGCTTATTTGACCATTTTTGGTTAGTATATGGGCTTATTTGCCCCTTTTCCCCTTAAACAATAATAAAATGACATAGTTCTAGTATAATTTGAGAAATATATAGTATTGATGTGTATAGAATACTCCCCCCGTCTCTTATAACTTTGTTTACTTTCCCTTTTTAGATGTCCCATTTACTTTGCCACTTTCCCTTTTATGTAAAGAATTTGTGGTTCCAGTTAATTCTCTCCCATCTAGACAAACCTCAACCACACAGTTTTTACTTTATTAATTTCCGTGCCGATCATACTTGGTAAAGTTATTAGGAACGAAGGGAGTATAATGAGATCATTGATGATAGCTGTGATGTCACCTATATATTATTTCTAATATTTGATGATTATACATGATCAATTTTTTTGATGATTATATGTTCATTTAAGAATGCTAATTATTTCTTAAATTAGACATGAGAATCTTTAACTGAGACGTCAAAAAAAGGAAAGTGATAACCTTAAACTAGGACAAAAGAAATATTTTAATACGGTCCTAATAAAAAATTCTCTTTTTCTTAAGTATATTAAAACTCAAATAAGTACAAACAAATTATTCTAAGAGTTAATACCCAGGACAAGACTAAAACATGCCTAAAATCACAAATAGAACTACCATGTTTTAAGTTCCCTAAATAGGACTAATCATGCATGTGTGTTTGGATAAATATACCCCGTAACTTTTAGGATTAAAATAAATATTTAAAACAATTAATAAAAATAGAGAAATAAAAAATTTTAATTAAAAAATATTAAAAAATTAAAATAAAAAAATAAAAATGTAAAAATAAAATACAGGCCTTTGCCGCCACCTTATCCGCCGCCTCTGCCACCCCAGCACCACCAGCCGCGATTATCGGAAAAAATGCCAACATGCATTAGTAATGTCATATTGATGGCAGTTTCGGTGAAATTTTTTCCATTATCAAAGGGTAACAATGCCGTTTTTTGACATTTTCAGAAAATGGAAATTTTACACAAAATGACAATTTTTTACCAATCGGAGGTAGTGGTACTAGGAGGTGGTAGAGCCGGTGGTAAAGACATCATTTCTTTTAAATATTTTTATATGTTTTCACTATTTTTTATTTTTCATTTTTTAAAATTTTTATTATATATATTTTATTAATTTTTTATTATTTTATTACAAATTTTATTATTTTTTATGATTTTATTATGAATTAAAAATTTTTATTATGAGCTAATACCCTTAGGGGTATAACGGGTAGAAAAAATGTTTAGTTATATTTTTAAATGATTTAAGTTTTAATCGTATTGTGCAATTAAGTTTCCATTTAATCCTATTTAGGAAAATTTTTATTATTCTAAAATAAATTAAGGAAATAAGTTATGTCATATGATAATAGTTATCTCATCATATCAACCCAGTGTCGGTGGGCGAAAACTTATTGTTTGTCGGAGTTATTTTATTTACTTGTTTTAATACGGAGTATCAATGAATATTAATGTTATGTACATTGTAATAACACATAATTATATTATCTTAATTATTGTTGATATTATCATGTATTCGGTTAGACTAGTCAATGTATATCTTTGTATTAGTTACGTAGCTTCACCCACACACTTAGATAGTTGGTTATACGATCTTATCACATACATAGCTCCCATCTCATACGTAGCTACTGTATATAAATACTCCCATGTATCATTGTTTAATACGCAATACATTAAACCCTTTTATGGTATCTAGAGCCATTCTCCTACGAGCGTAATTTTTTTTTTCCGATCATGGTTATCACCGCTACTACTTCAGTCATTCAACTCACTGCCACCACAAACTTCCCCATCAAACTCACTACTTCCAATTTCCCTGTTTGGAAATGCCAAGTTCATGCCGCCCTTATTGGCCTTGGACTTGATGAATATGTGGACGGCACCATCACCATCCCCGATCAGTTTACTGATGTGACCAAAACACAAATCAATCCGTGTTATACCACTTGGTATCGCCAAGACAAAACTATTCTAAGTGCGCTAATTGGTAGCTGCTCCGACACCATTCAACCAATCATCTCTTCCACATCCACCGCACGTCAAGCATGGGATAAACTAGCTCTCACATATGCTAGTACATCTCGTGGCCGCATCATATCACTCAAAACCACGCTGGCTCGCACGACCAAAGGTGGCCGCTCGGTCACAGAATACCTGGCGGAGATGACCGCTATTGCTGATGCACTTGCTTTAGCCCAGAGTCCGGTATCTGAGGAGGATCTGGTAATCAATATTCTCAATGGCCTGGGGTCAGACTACACTGAGCTTACATCCGCTATACGTGTTCGCCCCACTGCCCTCCCTCTGGCAGAACTCCAAACTATTTTGCTTGAGCATGAGAGTCGTGTGCAGGAGGCTGTCTCATCCACTTCAACTTTACTTCCAACGGCCCATGCTACTCAACTCACAGAACGGCACCACAACTCCTCTCCCAATCATGATAGGAGATCTCATCCCAATTTTGAGCGTCGCGGCACTAATCCTCGCCGAGGGCGAGGTGGTCAAAATTATGGCCAATCAAGATTTGGACTATCTCCAATTATCTGCCGATTTTGTGATAATCCGGGTCATGAAGTCAGAAATTGCCGGAAGCTCCAACGATTCCTTCGTGATAATCAGGTGCCTCCCCCGTCTTCGCAAATAAGTCCGACAGTCAATCACGTTGCTACAACACCTGCATCCTCTGCTCAGCCCTGGATGTTTGATAGTGGTGCATCTCACCATGTCACTTCCGATGCCACCATGCTTCCCAATTACGCAGATTATGGAGGCCCTGATGAGGTTCGCCTTGGGGATGGTAAGACACTTCCGATCACTCACACTGGTTCTACTACCCTATCCACTTATACACGTCCTTTGTCTCTTTCTAATATTTTATGTGTTCCCCGTCTTCACAAAAATTTAATTTCCGTTGCCAAACTCTGTAAAACTAACCATGTCTCCATTGAATTTTTTTCTACTCATTTTCTTGTCAAGGATCGGGCCACGGAGGCACCACTTCTACGCGGGGAGAACATTAATGATGTCTATTATGCTCCAGCCAGTCAATTTCCCAGTCAGTTGTCCCAGATTAATAACACTCAACTTGCAGCTTTGTCTCGGTGGCACCACGCTTTGGGTCACCCCTCCAGTCGTGTTTTTAATTTTCTAGTCAGTCAAAATAAAAATGTTATTTCATGCACTCCCTCTTCTGAATTCCATTGTATGTCATGTTCTATTAATAAAAGTACTAAATTACCATTCTCCGATACTTCTATTTGTGCCACATCTCCACTCCAAATTATATATTCTGATGTCTGGGGTCCGTCTGACAAGTCCATTGATGGCTATACCTATTATGTGCTTTTTGTGGATTTATTCACACGCTACATGTGGCTCTATCCTATTAAGCATAAATCAGATGTATCGAGTGTGTTTCCACAATTTCATCGTCTAGTCGAAAAATTTTTTAATGCACAAATTCGCACTATATTTTCAGATAATGGCGGCGAATATATTAAATTGAGGTCTTATCTTAATACTTATGGTATTTCACATCTCACCACTCCACCACATACTCCTGAACATAATGGTCTTGCTGAGCGTCGTCATCGTCATATCGTTAACACAGGTCTTGCCTTGTTACATTGTTCTGGCCTTCCGACTACTTTTTGGTCCTATGCCTTTCAAACCGCGGTATATTTAATTAACAGGCTACCTACCCCGGTCCTTGACAATGAAACTCCGTATTTTCGCTTACATAAACAACACCCAAACTACATGAAATTACAACCTTTCGGTTGTTTGTGCTATCCCTGGCTCCGCCCCTATGCGCCTAATAAAACCGCACCGCGCTCCACCCCGTGTATTTTTCTTGGCTACTCATTATCCCAGTCGGCATATTTCTGTTTTGCACCTTCAAATAATAAGGTGTATGTAAGTCGACATGTTAAATTTTTACCCGATATCTACCCTTTCCGTCAAAACCCGTCTTCCGCCCAGCCATGCATTGCATGCAATCACATCCCTAATTTTATTTCCTCTAACCAGCCTAAATCTCATTCTGCCACGACACCACACCTTATCCCTCTCACATATCAACCAATAAATTCTGGTCACACTTATACCCACCCAACCGTATCTCACTCCCAACATCCACTAATTCAAAATTCCATCCCTATCTCACCAACCTCCCCACTATTCAATTCCTTTCCACCATCTAATAATTCTAATCCTAATAATACTACGTCCTTATCCCTGCCAAATGACCCCACACCTCCTCCCAATACTAATATATCCATCCAACCCACATCCTCTGACCAACCATCAGACATACCTCATACCGACCCACCACCTTTACAAATAACCTCCCCGTCCTCATCGAACCCATCCAATGCCATACATATTACACCGCCTCGTCCCACTCGCAATCGGGCTCCCAATCCAAAATATTTTGGTAGTCCGTTTGTCAACCTCACTACACGTCATCCCTTACCCATAATCCTTGAACCTACGAGTGTGAAGGAGGCCTTACGTGATCCCCGATGGCGTACTGCGATGGAGGAAGAGATGAATGCACTCAAAAGAAATCAAACATGGACTCTCGTTCCCCGACAAGCTCAACATCCTATCACATGTAAATGGTTGTTTAGAATCAAACGACATGCGGATGGGAGCATTGCTCGTTTTAAAGCACGACTGGTGGTCCGTGGTTTTCTACAACAGCCTGGACGTGATTATGCTGAAACTTTCAGTCCTGTAACTAAACCAGCCACAATACGCCTTGTTTTGTCCATCGCTTTAGCTCGGAATTGGCCTCTCCGTCAATTAGATGTCAACAACGCCTTCCTCCATGGGTCACTTTCGGAAGAGGTCTACATGGTCCAACCACCAGGCTTTATTGATTCGTCTCAACCCACACACATATGCCGCCTAAATAAAGCACTCTATGGCCTTAAGCAAGCACCACGAGCATGGTATTTGGAGTTGTCACGGTTTCTGCTCTCAACCGGTTTTCGGAAATCTCGGGCGGATGCTTCGCTTTTTATTTATGCTCACCGTGACATTCTAATGTATTTTCTTGTTTATGTTGATGACATTGTACTTACAGGTAATAATCCTTTAGCCCTCCAGCAGTTTGTTACTCAGCTTACTGGCAGATTTTCTATCAAGGATCTTGGGCCCTTGCATCACTTCCTTGGTGTAGAAACTATTTCTCTTCCGCAAGGCATGTTCCTATCCCAACGACAATATATTGTGCACATTCTTGAAGAATGCCGTATGGATGGGGCTAAGGAAAATACCACTCCAATGAGCTCCAATTCACCACTTCATCTCACTGATGGCACGGCTATCACAGATTCCCATCAATATCGGAAAGCTCTTGGCCTACTTCAATATTTGGCATTTACCAGGCCTGACATATCTTTTGCCGTTAATCGTCTCTCTCAATTCATGCATGCACCTACGGAGGCTCATTGGCAGGGTGTGAAACGTGTTCTTCGCTATCTCAAGGGGACCTTGAATTATGGTTTGTTCCTCAAGCGTGATTCCCCCCTCACACTCACTGCATTTTCGGACTCTGACTGGGGTGGTATTCATGATGGGGGGAAGTCCACTACTGCATATGTCTTATATCTTGGCTCCAATATTATTTCGTGGAAATCGGCAAAACAGAAGACAGTTGCTCGCTCTTCCACGGAAGCGGAGTATCGTGCTATTGCCCATGCTAGTGCTGAAATTTTATGGCTGCGGAATCTCCTCTCCGAACTCGGTGTTCACCTATCTACTACACCCACATTGTTTTGTGATAATCAAGGCGCTACGTATGTCTGTGTTAATCCTGTGTTTCACTCTCGTATGAAACATGTTGCCCTTGATTTCTTCTTTGTCCGTGATCTAGTGGAAAGTGGTCAACTCAAGGTTCATCATATTTCAAATAAACTTCAAATTGCGGATATCTTGACTAAACCTCTTGGCAAATCTCTCTTTGAGCGGTTCCGGTCCAAGCTGGGAGTTTCCGATGGAACCTCCATCTTGCGGGGGCGTAATAACACATAATTATATTATCTTAATTATTGTTGATATTATCATGTATTCGGTTAGACTAGTCAATGTATATCTTTGTATTAGTTACGTAGCTTCACCCACACACTTAGATAGTTGGTTATACGATCTTATCACATACATAGCTCCCATCTCATACGTAGCTACTGTATATAAATACTCCCATGTATCATTGTTTAATACGCAATACATTAAACCCTTTTACATTGTACTAGCTATCGTGTTTGACTTGTTTTAATATCAATGAATTCACCGAATACGCCAAATAAACTACTCTACATGATCTATATATATACTGAGTGTCTCAACATGCTTACTTGATATTTCCATTTCAAAGTTTTTATAGAAGTTCAATCCGTTCACGCCACTCAGCTCATCACTAAATTTGTTGAAAGTTTCAAAACATATAAGGCAATGATAGCAAACACTTACTCTTTTCAGGTTATAGACAGTGACTTATTCAGAGTTGTGAAAGAAAAGTATGGTGATAAGTTTAAGGCCCTTGTGGAGGAGAAGGTTTTTCCAATGGCGGGCGATATTTCATTCAAGGAATTGGGAATTCAAAATGATGAGCAATTCTTGGGAGAATTAGACATTATTATTAATTCTGCTGCAACCACTGTATTTGATGAGAGGTGATTTGAGATGTTTATAATTGGATTTGTTTCAGTCTAGATAAGACTTAAATACGAAGTAGATAAGACCAAACAACTTAAGATCAAATTAGTCCAAACTAAACTTCGATAATTATAAAATATACATAGAACATATATTAACAGACCAGACCAAATCAATTATGACTATAGCCTAAATACTTAGTCCTATGGTATTTTTAACTTTTTTGTTTATTATAATTTTTTTAGAACATACAATAGAAGGCGAAAAGCCTAAATTGGAGTACAGAACGAACTAATGTTTTAATTGTCAATTTAATTTTAAAAATAATTACATATTTATGACTAAAATAAATATTGTTCACAAAAATGTGACCCTATAGTTTGTCAACAATAATGGTAAGCCATAGTAGTTCATTTTTAATTTTTACATTTAAATGATCATATAATATATTCATAATAAAGAGTATCTTTAGTCACATTTAGAGTATCTTTAGTCACATTTTGTATACCCAATACTTTTGAAAACCCTCTAATTCACAAACAGTGTCGCCCCTCCATTGAGAGTTTGACCATTAATATATACAACTATATAGTAGTAAAAAATTAAAAAAAATCAGATTTTGAAAATTTACAATGAGACAAATTTAGTAATATTTTTTTCAAAAATATATATTAATACATCAATTAATAAAATGTAATCAAAGTAGAACATGTGAATAGTGTAAAATTTGCAATGTTGCACTTATTTAAGAACAGAGGTAATATTATTTTTTTTTATAGTTGCGACACCTAGATTGCTACTTCTATTAATATTACAAGGCTTTATTATATTTGATACTTGAAGTATGGTTTAATTACATCTCTTAAAAATAGATATGATTCATGACTGAACATCATCACAAGCTGTAAAATACCCACCATTCTTCAATTCTCCTAGAGCTCATATATAAAGATTAGATGTATCCATCCACCAATCCACCAGCCCTCCTCACAGATCTATTCCTATACGTCCCTTTATGAGATATTCAAAATTTTGTTTGACTTGGAATCTTGGATCATTTACAGAAATATATACTTAATTGATGTTACAACCAACCACAACAATAAAGATTTAATTACTTTTGTACATGGCAAGTCAACCGAGAGATAAAATGGGAGAGAGTTATACGAAGTACGAAGTATTTTGTTTGTAAATGGAGAAGAAAAGCTCCAGAGGAGGAAGATAATAATTATACTACCGTAATTTATAATGTTGGCTAGGGCCTTTACAACTTTGCCACCTTTTTATTATTCTAAAAAGTTAGCTACTATATTCTTAAATACGTACTACGTAGTATTTAATATGTGATCGATTTAGTTCTCTTCTATAAAATTTCAACCTCATAAATTTACTAGTTTATTCTATTGAAGAAAAAGATTTACATGCATTCTTCTCTAACAATTTCTTGATTTGACTTTCCCTATATTTTTTTAATAAAAAACAAATTGCTTTCTAATTTTTTCTATTTGAAAGAGCGTAACATTATTTATAAAGCAGTAATATACATAATAAAAAAAAAGAAGAAACAATGAATGAGATAAAAATAAAAAATGAATATAAAAATGTGAGTAAACATTATGAATATAGTGATATAATTGTTCTTATAGAAATTATCCCAAATAGGAGTATACCTATGACAAAAATAAAAAACAGGACTTCATATGTTTTTATTCCAAAACAGGACCATATAGCTCCTATTTGGAAACATACCTATTTTTTTATTCCATTCTAACTCCTCCTTGAAATATGAGTAAAAGGTAGTCAAAAGTCATAATTAAATGTTTGAATTCATAATAAATTCGTAAAAATAAAATAAAAATCATAGCAAAATAATAAAAAATTAACAAAGTATTTATAAAATTATAAATTTAAAAAAAAAATAAACAATTTAAAAAAAAAAAAATAGAAATAGTAAAGATCCATAAAATAAATAAAAAATATGGATGCCTTTCCCACTGCTTGTACTGCCTCCCTGCGCCATCACCTCTGACCGGTGTAAGAAAATGCCAAAAAATGGCATATTACACTGTTTGAGAATGCCAAAACTTTCATTGAATCTGCTATAAATATGAAATTCCTAATGCATGTGGCATTTTTTCCCCGGTGACCGGAGGTGGTGGTGTGGGGGTGGCAGAGGCAGCGGTTTATTTTTTATTTTTTTTTTAATTTTTTCATATTTTTATATATTTTTAAATTATTATTTTATAAATATTTTTATTAATTTTATATTATTTTTTACGAATTTTTATTATTTTTATGATTTTATTATAAATTAAAACATTGCAACAATTTAGTTTTTTGTCCTATTTGTGCAACCGGACAAGCTTTTAGTCCTATATATGCATAATTAACTCTGGTTCTTATTCATTTGTATAATTGTAGGTATGATGTTGCAATGAGCATTAATACAATGGGAGCAGCAAATATTTTAAGCTTTGCCAAAAAATGCCACAATCTTAACTTGATTGTTCATGTATCTACCGGTCAGTTTGAATATGTACTTAATTTCATGCTTAATCAGTATACATACATACATATGTATCTATGTATACATTTGGTCGAAATAATAAGTACTATACGGAGTATTAGTAATTCTTAGATGAAAAATGAGAACTAGCCTTCCTCATTGGTACAAATTTACGTACGGATGTATGAAACTACGTATATTTTTGAGATAATTATCCTAGGAATGACTAAAACTCAAAGAGTTTCCCAATCTATGACCCAATCAGTTTTTTTCCTAATATAATATTAAAATTCGAAATATTTAATTAAAATTCAAAATAATTAAATAATAAATAAATTTCAGGGACAAAAACACCCTTTAGTTATACCTATAAAACTCTAATTCCCTCATTTTTCTCCTACCCTACCTAGCCGCTCACGTATAACTTGCGCAGCTCACCTACGCAGCCGCTCCCGTCGGGACTCCGCCTGCCGTCTAACCACCGGCCACAGTCCAACGCCGCCGCCGGCCACGGATCTCTAGCCTGGGAGCACATCCGCCGCCTTCCAAAGATCGATCGCTGGCTTGGAAGCACAATTGTCCGACCTGGATGCCAAGGCGCCGCCCGGCGTCGATCCATCATCCTTTGTCATTGAATCGGTGACTGGAAGGGATATGAAGGGTGGACTTGTGACGAGAGATGACGCTCCAGTCTGTGTGTCAAGCAGCAACTTCGACCTTGGTAGCAAAGGAGTGGCGTGCTGTGACTACTTTGGGAGGAGTGGGATTGGGTGAGCTGATTTAGAATTTGATTAGGGGTTTTGGATTACGGCCAAAGCAGACTTTCAGATCTGCAAGTCTGGAGGAATGCCCCTTCACGATTTGTGGAATAAGTTGAATTTGATTTTTGTTTTAAGAGTTTTTTTTTTCAATTTTAAATAATTAATTGCTTTTGCTGTTCGCAGAGTGTTTGTTGAAGCACAAATTACTTGCATTCTTCTTCTCATTTCTTGAATTTAGGGTTTTTAGACATGGGTAAGATGCATAGGCAGTGAAAATGGATTGCAAATATGGGCAGTGAGAATGGATTGCAAATATGGGCAGTGAAAATGGATTGCAAATATGGGCAGTAAATATGGCAATAAATAGTGATGAAAATAGACAACGAACATCAATGCATAGTGTTGTACATGGGCAGTGAATGAACGCATTGAAAAAAGTGTTGTGCATGAATTGAATGCAATAAATTTTGGTGGGAAGTGCACTGATTATGATCAGTAGTGCAGTAACACAAAGCAGTAATATATCATGAAATGTAATATACTTAATTAGACATAAAATAATAAAATTATTAAATCTAAAAAAATAAAAAATAAAAGCTAAAAATAAATTCCGCAAGTGAATGAGAAGAGAATTAATTTTGGCGGAAGTGCAGTGATTACTACCGGATGTGCAGTAATGTCATGCATTAATGTCGTGCAGTAACAGCAATACAAAGTGCAGTAATTTTAATTAGACAAAATTAGTACAAAATGCACATATTTTAATTAAGGGTATTTTTGTCATTCAATCTTTAAATATAAACGAAATTTCTATTTTTTTTGGATTTCCGGTCATAAAAAGGTATAAAAACTAGTTAGGTCATAGATTGAGAAACTCATTGAGTTTTAATCATATGCTAGGAAATTTCCCTATATTTTTAGGTAAAAGAGAGATGATATATTACAAATAAAAAAGATGGGTAATTTGCCTTCCGTGTTAAAAAAAATGAAGAAAAGAACTGATGGAACAATTGAAAAGTACAAAGCTTGATTGGTTGCCAAATGATACAATCAAAAAGGAGAATTTGACTACTTTGATGTCTACTCACCGGTCACAAGAATAACTTCAATTCGAACGTTATTAGCAATAGTTGCATTGAAGGGTTTGGAAATCCATCAAATGGATGTAAAAACTACATTCTTGAACAGTGACTTAGAGGAAGAGATTTACATGCAACAACCCGAAGGTTTTATTGTCCCCGGACAAGAAAGAAAGGTTTGTCGCTTAGTAAAATCTCTTTATGGGTTAAAGCAATCCCCCAAACAATGGCATGATAAATTTGACAGTGTAATACTATCAAATGGATTTAAGATCAACGACGTTCACAAGTGCGTGTACG